AGATACACAACATCTTGCTGAAAACACTGAAGTTTTCTTAAGAAGTACAGTCTGCTCTGTCCCTTCTTGTAGACGACTTCACTGCTGCGTATCCTGTTGAGTTTTTTATTCAGGTGAAATGCAAGGTATTTTTACTCCTCCTCCACCTCCTCTTTTCCTATGATGTTAATAGGATTTGTCTTGTTTTTATTTCTTCTTAATTACTTATTAATGCGATAATACGCTGGCAGGTACTTCCTCCCCTCTGACCAAATGTTTATTTGGTTTATCATTAAAACTGATATTTCAGGTTTCACTCCTTCACAGAACATATCATTGATCTTTAAATCATAACTTTCTTTTTATCAGTATCAGTATCAGTCTTTTTCTGTCCTTCCATCATAGTTAGGATTGTCAAAAGGAAGGAAAGAATAAATAGCAAAGAAAACAGAAAATGAAGAATCCAACGACCCAGTTGACAGAGTAGATATAGATTATGACCATGTCCATGTCAAAACGCCAGCTTCTAGGCTCATCCTCAAAGTCAAGGGCATCAAGTGGGAATCCTCCTCCGTGGGGGAACTGGCGTCTCACAATTGGGTTTGACTGCCTCTGGAAACCTTATTAAGAAAATTCAATTAATATATGCTCATTTGTAAACACTTTACATGTGATTTACACGACTTAATTTTGTATTCAGTAAGAACCTTTTGTTAATTTTTAGGGTACAGTACAATGATGTAATAGAATTTTTTAATTTTTGACAACTTGTTTTTGTTAAAAGTAAGATAATCTAACTCAACATCTGAAAGTATTTTTAGTTCTATAGATAATTAAACTTTGAAAAATAAACATTTCTGTGCTTCTAAGTATGTAATAAAGCCATATATACAAAATTTCAATTTCAACGCTTGTCAGAGAAATCGTTGATAATTCTGCTCTCAGAGCAGCAGCCCCTCCCTGGCCTTAAAATTAGTAAACCGTTGTACATACAGTAGGAGAGTGATCACAGGCTCTCCAGGAAACACCTAGTAAATAACACACACAGTTTTTCCAATCAGCAAATGGTGATGTGAGGCAGACCATGATCATTTCCGCTCAACACTGAGATGAGGTGGAGAAGGTACTGACAAAAATCAATCAAAAAGATTCTTGGTGAATTAAAAAGATTCAACGAGCCAGGTGCATGGAGTCGGGCGCCCTTTTCCTAGGGGCCATCTGATCCCTCTACATGCATGCATCGGACCTGTCCCTGGTGCATTTTGGACTTTGACAGAGCTGCCCTCTCTTGCCGGTCCTCTTCATAATCTTTATGGAAAGTATTTCTAGGTGCACCCAAAGGCCATATTGGGGTCGGTTTGGGTGCATTGGATTTTATGGTGCAATATCACCACTCACTAGGTTGGTGTGAGCGAACTTGCTCGAACTTGCTTCTAGGCCGAAAGTTATGCTAGTATCCTTTCCTAAAGTATTGTGGTACATTTATGGACACAAGAGCACATATGTGGTATACTAGCCTTTATGCATCTTCATGTTGCAGTGGTTCTAGGACAATGTCATGAAATTGGCGGCCACCCAGACAAAGAGGGTTGGGGTTACAGTGAGGAAAATTGTCTTTCTTTCAAGTTAAAAAAAAATAGCAAACTAACTCAACTAATATTTCATAAAAGAGTACTCCATAGAGCCAAAAGCAATATTTCATGATATGCTGTTAATGCTTAGTTAACTTAAAAAGGCTTAATAACACAGGATATAGAACTTTTAAAACCTTACAATACATTAAATGTACCATGTTAGATTTGCAAAACTGCTGGTAGAGCCTTGAGGTATTTGCTGTCATCTCTGTAGATTAGGAAAATCATTCAACAGAACTCAAAAACACAAAATATTGAATGCACTTCTTATACTTTAAGTAAATGTTTAAAGTCATTGAAAGCAAACACAAACTGTAATCCATTTTCCACATTTGAATCCATATATATATGACAATAAGCTGCTGGCATGTTGTAATTACTATATCCCACTTAAAAAATGAGAAACAAACTTGCCTCGAAAGATTTGGAAGAGCCTCCTACAGCTTGGGAGGGGCCACTTTGAGCAAGGTGCTCTCTGAAAGTTCTGCTTCCTGGAAAGGTAATCCTTTGGGAAGAATGTCTTTGCTGTTTGGTTCAGGTCTAAATTTGGCATAAAAACATATTAAGGTTATCAATTATCTAATAAGTAGCTAATTTTGTTTACTGTCTGACTTTAACATAAGCCAAAAATTGATTTTTCTGTGTCCTTCAGTTTGACATTGGCGTTCAATGTGCAGAAAATTATGTGTTGTTGTCATCGAATCATTAAAAAGAGCCCCTAGTGTTTCTGCAGTCCCCAACAGTCATCCTGTCCATGTTGCCCATGATCTGTATCCAAAAGTAGACCACTCTGAGTCATAAGAATCTATTAATTATTCATATTTCTGTCCGAATCATATTATATTGGATGAAATCTCTGTATCTTAGCCTGAGATGTCATCTAATGGTTTGGCAAGTAAAAAGAATAAGTGCAATACTTTGAAAAAGTATTTATACCCCCTTAGCTTTTACAGATTTCGACACATTATGATCAAAACCTTTGGTTAATTTCATTTTGATTTTTTTATATACCCAGAAATAGTAGTTATAAAACAATTTTGGAAAATAAATATAAATAAAATGTGTAAAGTATAACATGCATATGTGTTAAGACCCATTTACCTACACACGAATAATGAAATCTAGTCAGTTCAATTAACGTCAGAAGTCACCAATATAAAAGTTTGTAATGAATTCTATTATACAGTATACTATGTTGATTGTTTAATCATCATTAAATGCAAATTGCATGAACAACAGGTCAGAAAAACATTGTGTACAAGTCTGAGCTAGGTTACTAACAAAAACATATTTAGCATGTAAGTAATTTTTAAACCAATGTTCTTTTATGTTTTTAATTGAAAACACAAATATTTACAAAATATTTAGCATCTCTATCATATTGTTAATTAACAGTTAACTAACTGTTAATTAAATGTAATTAATACATGTTTGTAAACTGTATGTACATCAATATTTTTGATGCAGTGCTTTATTTTATAAATAATTCCAAATTGTTTCCATACTTTGACTTTTGATCACCTACTTACCCTTTTGGAAAAAGACATGAGTGATGATGGTTCTGCAGAGAGGACAGGGGGTATTTGTGGGGCTATTCTTTGCAAGTGTCCTCAAACAGGGCTCACAGAAGATGTGGTTGCATGGGAGGCACATGTAAGGATTGAAGTACACATCCAAGCATACAGCACAGACCAAACCCTCTTTGTTTCTCATGCTCAGTGCTTCTTCATCCTCAGTGCTGCTGCTGGTGCTGGGGGTGGCTTGTGAACTCTTGAATAAAGTGAGAAAGTAAAAAAAAAAAAAAGATTTCACAGAAGTTTGAGAATTAAGTCAGCATCCAAGCATATGTAAGCAAACGTCTTTTTATGTGTGACAGTAGCCTGCTGCTCTTGCAAATGCGTAAATATTTAAACATACATGTGCTTGTTTTGAATCTTATGTAGTTTTGAATTTTTTTATTTCACCTCAACACTTGATTGCCATACATTTTTAACTGAACTATGTATTGGTCTCTTTTCTACAGTGTGATATTCACAGGTAGTTTCATATGCCCTTTATACTCTATAAAATGCACCAGTGAAATCAATTCTGAGTGGCTATAAAATAGTAGTGACTAAGAAACTGAAACTTCTTGTAATAAGACTTCTTCACTAGTATTGTAGAAATGTACAATTTGTAAATTGAACTTGTCATTGGAAGTGCAGAGATGTATGAGTAAAATAGGAAAATTTAAAGAAAATCAAACATTTCAAGGATCGAATGCATTCTCTCTAATTAAGATATGACTACATTTATTAAAGGCTAAGTCATATCAAACCTACATGGTTGTAAATGTCTTTAATATGAGTGTTCTTGTCCAGACAGACGTCTGACTGGACCCAAAATACAACATAAAATGAACTGTTCAGTATATGACTAATTTTGGTTACAAACATAATTTTTATTTGTTATTAAATATGTGAATATTGCTTGCCCAAATCTAGTTTTCTGAACTTTGTTCAGCTTTCTGTAATTGCAAACATAGAGTACATTTCCATTACAAGATAGTGTTACACTAGATGCTATTAAATATTTCAGAACATTTTGACACCGCCTTGTGTTTGTCCTTTTCTTTTTATTGCCCCTAGATGAGCGTTAAATTTTCTAATTAAATGATACGGGTGAGCACAAGAATCATCTGTTGTTTTAAGGGGATACATTTATTGTCTGCATTTTTAAAATCTTATTGTAAAGGACTACCCCAACCCTTCAATGTGCATAGATTTTTGGGGCCATCTATTTGTGCCAATAACAAGGATTCCTGCTATTAACAGATGGTCAGATCTTTCAAAAACATAGTATGAACTCATAGCTGCTCTTGCAGTTCTCTTTACAGTTTATGTCTTTCAGTTCCAACTCCAACAGCAATTTAGACAAATAACAAGTGCTGTAAAAACAAAACAAAACAACAATAAAATAAAAACAATAAATTGTCCCAAAATAGACAGTTAAGTCAAACAATGAAATATCAAGCATGTACTTAAATAATGGAAATAAAAACTTAGCTGAAACCTGATAGAAAAAGAAAGGACATTTAAAATTTAATGCTTACGTTAAAAAAAGATGTTAATGTATGTAACTACATGCAAAAGCTCTAATTAAAAACATAAAATACCTCTACCCACACATGAATATTTATGTGACATTTTTCTTTGAAAATACCTTTTGCAAAGGTAATTGAATTACTGTAAATTATTTGAAAAAATACTGACTTTTGTTTGAATTTGGTTTACGGAACACAGAAAATATGCAAGCAAGGTATTTATTCTGAGAGAAAAAATATCTGTGAATGAACTCATCAGTTTATTACGTATACACTGCTGCACCAAAGTAGCCAAGTTTCATAAAAACCAAGGGGCCATACCAGACAATATTGCTTAAAGAAAGTCATGGTAGGTACCATCAAACGTTTTCCTCAAGCCAATTCGGGAACAAGGGAAACACATTAAAGAAATTGCTTTGATGAGATGACACAAAACATGTTTTTAAGCAACCTACTATGCATGCAGGAAGACTAACAAGTACTTGTTACTTGTTAACTAAAACAACTAAAGCATAAAAAAATGAAAATAAATATTCACAATGATGTTGCAGCACTATGATGTTGGAATGTTTTTCTTTTTCAAACCTTCTCAAAATGGGATTAAATAGATCCAAATACAGAGCCGTGAGACTCACAAATGTTTTCCTTTAAGCATAACTCTTACTGTACATTAAACTTGCAGCAACAGCTACGACAGAAGCTTATGACCTAAGAGCTGCAAAGTTACAAGATGCAACACATAACTTTTTTAAAACATACAGTAGGATATTCATTTTACATTTCTTTACTTACTGACAGTATATATATATATATATATATATATATATATATATATATATATATATATATATATATATATATATATATATATATATGCTGCAGCACAACAAAGATTCCCACACTAAATCTCATAATCTTTCATCCTGAAATACTAAGTTCTCAGTTTTTCTAAGTGTCTTTGTCCCTGAGATTCCACTCATTATATCCCAGTTAGACCTCATGTAAAAGAATTTACCTCTGTCCCCACATCCTTCATACATATGTTTCGGCTGCCGCCTCAAAGGGGTTCATGTCTAGAGCTTTAGAGTTAAGAAAGCCTACAAGTGTTTCCGCTGTAATTACCGCTTTATCACCTGGAGGGGCCCAGGGACTACCTTATACTGTAGCAGTAAGTTTGTCTCTCAAGGTGTGTCATTAACACACTGAGAGGGGCAGATTCAGAGCGCCCAAAGCTCTTAAGAAATTATGGAAACAGGCTTTCCCCTGGTATCACGAAATGTAACATAGCAATGTTTTGTTCACTACAGGTTGTTCATACTAACAAAAGAGATTTTATAACATTTAGGTAAACCAAAAAGTCAAACTTCTCTATAAACTATATATCATAGTGAGTACATTAAATTGTTTATCAAAAATTATTATTGTGAAGGTATGTTTGTACGTCAAAAGTAGATCTTCAAGTAAGTTGCAAAGTGATAGCATTTGCAAATAAGCATACAGTGTGGGGAAATTATTTTTTTGCATGATACAGTTGGCCAGAATTGTTTTACTGTATATTGTGTCAACGCTGCTATTGAGAGGAGCGGGTGGAGATAATCCACATATTTAGAGCATAATCTGCTCTTATGTCAATCAGCAGACAAAAACAACTTCCCATGTTTTATGGTATGTTATAATTTTATATTTAACATGACTTATTTTAATAACCTTTTTTACATACTGTGAATCTCCTCTTTGTTTCACAGCCACTCTCATACTCCCTGTAGAACATGCAATCTGCTCATTTAAATGAGCGAAAACAAATCGATTTGCATATCATCAAATTTGTGCAGCAATCTGTGTAGAGTACCCATAACACACCCACTTATTGCAAATACAAACAAAATTCCACTTATCTATATATTCTTATTTGTATACACTGTATGATTTAAAAAAAAGTATTCTGTATTAATATGGGCCTAATAAAAAAAAAGTATTCTTGAGCTAAACTAAGTCTGTATCAATCAGAGTGTCTCCTGAAGGTCTGCTGATTTGATGGGTGACCTGACCAACGTAATACTTTGGATCTTTTGATTGCTTCTTGTATGTCAAGTCATCCATGATCTAAATGAAGCCGGGATTCATCAGTTTATTTTAAGCAAAGCCTTGTTGGGTTTACTGCTATTAATATAAACCATTTAATTAATCAACCAAGAACAACTAGCCTTTGTTTACATTATCTCTGGCAAACCTTGATTTAGAAAGACTTCATAATATCCCTGGAGAACAAAGGTTTACTTCTTCCGTATTTGTATAACAGATAGATTTGTACAGTAATTTTCTGATTTTACAGACTGTGTAATAAAGAAGAACTTGCTGTAGGTCCTGTAATGACAGTTTGGGGTTTCTGATACTACTTTTGGACTCCTGCAGTGTGCTTTCAGGGTGGACTGGATTTCAGATCTTAGTATGATGGTAACTGTTTTGAATGTTCTCAAAATGTCAAATTGTCAACTTTAGAAGTGGAATGGTGGATTTCAATATCTTTATCAGACTGGTGAGCAGCTGCAATCTTTGCCAAGACAGCTAATCAAACTGGTTCACTGTAAGATCAGCAGTCAAAAACATATGGAGCCCAATATCTGAGGTATAAACAAGACAAACTGGTTGTTTTGATTTACTCCTCTCCAGAAGTTTATAAAATATAAAAAAAATAAACAAAAATTTTAAATTTAAATTAAATATTCAAATGTCCTCAAACTAAAGTGAGATGCTTTTGAATAAATTATTCTGCAATAGATACTGTAATACCACCGTTTTATAGGTATTTCTTTTATACGACATTTTTCAAATGGTGTCAAAACATCTAAAACAATATGATTTGTGATTCAGATCCTATCAAAGTCATTTCAAAAGTTTCTGGACTCAACTTACCCTGTTAGAGTTCCTGTAACAGCAGTAAAAATGATTTTAGTCTGGCGATAAGACTTCAGATTGGCAGCAAAGCAAAACTGAAACAGCTACATCTCTTGCCAATTTTTAAGGGCTCTTTGCCCATGCCTCATCATGCAGCTAATTCAGACGTAACCCCACTTTAAACCATGCAAACACAATGGCTATTGAAATGAGCTAGGTGCAGACATGGTGGTTTAGTGGTGGGAGTCTGGCTGCACTGAAGTTACACGGCCTGACACAGACACAGCAGAGCCATGAAAAGCTCTAAAAATAATGATGGAAATGAAAGCAAAGTGGTTTTAATTGCTCTTCTGTGCACTATAAGCCCACACAACTCTTGTCTTGTTTTGGTCATAGACTTTCATCTTGCATATAGATACATTTGACTAGCTCTAAAGTAATCTAAAGCTGGATTAGCCCTACAACATGAAAATGTAAATGTATTGAATTTAACTTGACTTCAACAATTGTCCCATTTATAAAGTCGGAAATTTGACAAGACTCCTATTTCAACATTTGCCAAGATGTGTCTAGTCCATATAACCTAGGAGAGACATCTTTGTTATCTCCAATATTCAGTTTTTTTTAAGTTGATTATATGACATTAATGATATTGCTTCAATGTAGCATCAATTGGACCGCAGGGGAAAAAAGAAACTGAATATGTGATTTTTCTTTTATTCTTTTTGTGTATAAAGAACATAAACTTACTGTCGGAACATTTGATAAGAGACCACAGGGGAATTTACCTGGCTGCTCTCCTGCTGCTGACTCTGTTTCCATCTCTCTCTCCTCCTCTGTCTTCTTCTCAGACTTTTAATCCGGCTCTTCTCTCGTTTACTAATCCTCCTCTCTTCTGAAGGGATACAAGGTGGCGACTCTGTCGAATACATTCCTCGACCAGTCACTTCGACCACACCGCTTCCTTCTTCCTCTCCTTCTTCAATGGTGTCCTCATTCCCATCCTCGTCTCCTTCGTTTTCTGAATCTGAGATGTGTGTCTGACTTGAATAGCCTTGCAATGTTCGTTCTGAGCCTGCCCCTCTTTTCACTTCTGCCAAGAAAGAGTCTGAATCTCTTGATGAAGAGGCCCGTGATGACAAAGGAGCAAATCTGCGTAGATCGCCAGGTCGACCACACTGAAAGTGTAAATCGCTTGTTTCAGTCTGGGTAAAGCCAACAGTTTGTGATTTAGAACATGTATGCTTGCTCTCTAAGTTGTTTGATGATTCTTCAGTTTTTAAAATGCTGTTTAACTGCATATTAGTGGAAAAGCTTTCAAAGGTTCCTTTTCTTGTTGCGTCTTGGGCTTGATCTGCACACAATTTTTTCATCCTTCTTGGATGGTCTTGACCTCTCTCTTTACCTCTAATGTGCCTCTCCTCTTTTCTTTCTTGGTTTCTTTCCCCTCTTCTTCCTTGTTTTTCCTCAGGGCAGGTCTTTCTGTGTGCTTTTCTCAATGGCAGGGCAGGTGTGACCAGGTGCTCTTCAGTGAGGTGATCTGCGGCCCTCAGCAAAGGTCTCATTTCCTTCATCCATCGATTGTGAATCTCATTGCTGCCATGTCCTTCACTGGGATCTTCATTTCTATTACCTTTGTTTGTAGTAGTGCCACCAATGACTGAGGTTCCCATGTGGGCACTCATCTTGAAGTTCTACAGCGTGCCGGGTTTAGCAGAGCACATTAGGTTGACTTTTATTCAGCTAAACAGGTCTTACCTCTTCTCATACGTCACTTAGTCTTTCTTCTTCTTTCGACTTCTTCATTTACTTTTAAGTATTGCATTTATGAGTTACAGGGTGTTTTAGTTCAGGGCATTTAAGCACTGCAGCTCTCTGGTTTGACATGTCCTGCCCTTCTGAGCCCCCTGGGTTATTCTACACTGTGGACAAAGACAAAGTCCCTGTGTTGAGCCCCATTACAATAGGTGTTCTGTACACAGCCTCACTATAGTGCTGTTCAACCTATAGAAAGCTCGCCATTATAGACCAACAAAACTCACAAAAATGAGGTGAAAAAGCCAGAGCAACATTTTGTTTTCTAAAGTTAAATAGCATTGGGTCAGCTTTTCTATATTTGATAGCTTGCAAAAGTATTTACACCCATTGAACTTTTATGAATTTTCTCAAGTTAAAGTCATACATTTTTATATTTTATTGCTCGGTCATCCATAAACATAAATTTTCCAATTCTGACACACATTTTTGATCTGACTCTGACTGGGCTATTAAAACATTTGAATAACCTTTGGTCTAAACCTTTTCATTGCTCTTCTGGCTAAATGTCCATAATCTATATATCCTGCTTGAGCATGCCTCAGTCTCGTTTTTTTCCTCCTAGGATTGCCTTGTGTTTACCTCCAGCCATCTCCCTATCAATTCCTACAAGCTTCATCATATATAGCACCAAGCTACCACCATTTGTGATGGGAGTCATGTTTTCAGGTTATATGTAGTGTTCAGAAACTCCCCCAGGATTAGAGCAGAGCACTGGGTACCTGTATGATTGATGCTTTCCTCGCTCAGCCTCTCAGTTAAGGTGGATATCCATTTACTCTGTGAGGTTTTCATTATAACATAATATATCACAAACTAACCTTACTTTAAACTTGACCTGTTTTTTACTGGAACTGGGGGTTATTTATTCTTCAAAGCCACGTGTCTCCTTTCTTCCATGCCACAATTCTGTTCTACTAAGTTGTTTTCAGACAAATGTTAAATTTTATGGTTGTAAGGTATCAAAATGAAAAAAAGCTCTAAAGGGTTTTAATGGTTTGGCAAAAAAAAAAAAATAATAATAAATTTTCAAAGGTAAATTGTTAATAATTTTATAATCTGAACGTCATTAAAAAAAAAAATTGGAATATGCCTTATATCTGTCTTATCTTTTTAAAAAAGCTTTTTCAAAAAGCTAGTGAAAATGAAAAATCCAAAAAGACCATCAGGAAAGGTAACAGCTAAGCTAGAAAGCCTATGAAAAAATAAGCTTTCTAGCTTTCTTTTTTATTTCTTTATTTCTTTTTTATTCAAATAAACGGGGACAAAAATTAAAATAATGATCTGTGTGTTTATTTTTCAGAAAATCAATTTTCAACATAAAATTTAGGTCGCAGCATTACCAGAACATATCGAAAGAAAGAAAAAAGATGACTAGATCGAGCCTTCATCTAACGATCGCACAGCAATCGTGATAATATATGAAGTGGGCAGCAGATGGCAGCAGTGTTACTATGTGACTCACAAAAGGAGCTGTTCTTGGTCCTGAATTACCGTCTCCATTTATCCGCGTATAGTGAGTTTGGACTTCTTGTTCTTCTAGGTTGAAAATTCATTTCAGGACTTACGAATTTCATGCTGAGCATTAAAAAACCCATCTGCTTAAATCTGAATTAAAAAAAGACATTGATCAGTAAATTAGATACTTCTGAATTTGTTGAGTGGAGTTAATTAAGACCAATTTTTAAGCAGGAGCCCTGTTATCACAATTTTAACATAAATAATAATGATAATAAAAATAAAGGGTAAGATAAAGCCCAGCGAAATGAAAGTATCTTCCTCGTGACAGTAGCCAAAAGTGAAGCATTGGGGAAAGCACAGCAGCAGAAAACTCCAGGGTGAACTCCTCCCGGTCTGACGTACCAAGAGCAGTTGGTATAAATGAATTCACGGACTCATCAAGCTCAGATGATTTGCTGCGCGTCTGGCTTTCCACACACATGGGCTGACCCCTACACACACAAATACATACACATACGCACACACATGCACACACGCACACGCTCATGCATACTCACAAACACTGCGTCATGCGTCCTGAGAGCGACAGCAGGAACTCCGATGGACCCCATAAAACGCACGGCGGCAGCGGTGTAAGCGCCTTCTCCTGTTTTTTACACTTACACATCCTCAGCTGCTGAAGAAAAGTTGCACTTTCAGTGCAGCGAAATGGATTTTCTAACAAGCGGCAACGACAGCAACGCCACCGGCGGTTATCCAGAAGGAATTGAAGTGGTCGCCGACTGGATCGGGGGAAACAACGCCACGGGGTCTTGGTTTCCGCCCGATCTCGTACTGGCTTATCAGATAATCACCTCTCTGCTCCTAGGGGCCCTCATCCTCTGCTCCATATTTGGTAACGCGTGCGTCGTGGCGGCCATCGCTCTGGAGCGATCTCTCCAGAATGTGGCAAATTACCTGATTGGATCTTTGGCTGTTACAGACTTGATGGTATCGGTCTTAGTTCTACCCATGGCCGCCCTCTACCAGGTTCTAAATAAGTGGACTTTAGGGCAGGAGATATGTGACTTATTCATTTCTTTGGATGTGTTGTGCTGCACATCTTCCATCCTGCATCTGTGCGCAATCGCGTTGGACAGGTATTGGGCCATAACAGACCCTATTGATTATGTGAATAAACGGACACCAAAGCGAGCTGCGCTTCTGATTTCCGCGACCTGGCTGATCGGGTTTTCTATCTCCATCCCACCTATGTTGGGATGGAGGAGCGCGGAGGACAGGGCGAACCCAAACGCGTGTATGATCAGCCAGGACCCGGGCTACACCATCTACTCCACCTTCGGGGCTTTTTATATACCCCTCATTCTTATGCTGGTCTTATATGGCCGAATATTCAGGGCTGCTCGCTTTCGGATTCGTAAGACAGTTAAGAAAACCGAGACAGCAAAAGTTTCAGACAAGTGTCTGGCCGTGTCTCCAGCAATATTCCACAAGAAAAGTCATGGGGAGACGCGCAACAAAGGCTGGAAGCGCTGCGACGAGTCCAAATGCAGCTCTCCATGCGTAAATGGCGCGGTGAAGCACGGAGACGAGGGTGAGTCGCTGGAGATTATAGAAGTTATCAGCAACTCCAAGACGCACCTGCCTCTGCCCAACACCCCTCAGTCCTCCTCTCATGGATATGAGAACATGAACGAGAGGAACTCGGGAGCAAAGCGGAAGCTTGCGCTCTCCAGGGAGCGCAAAACAGTGAAGACGCTGGGGATCATTATGGGGACGTTCATTGTGTGCTGGCTGCCGTTTTTCATCGTTGCGCTGGTCCTGCCTTTCTGTGCAGAGAGCTGCTACATGCCCGACTGGCTCGGTGCCGTGATCAACTGGCTGGGCTACTCTAACTCCCTCCTAAACCCAATTATATATGCTTACTTTAACAAAGACTTCCAAAATGCATTCAAGAAGATCATAAAGTGCAAATTCCATAGACCATGAGTGCACAGATGCTGGTTCTACTTCTATGTAATTTGGTGCAGCACAAAAAAAACGTATAAAACTGTAATGAGCATCAAAAACAAACCAACAGACTTTTTTTATACAGGTAAAGAATGTTTAAGGAGGATGATGTATAAATAAAGCAGATCACTATGCTGAAATATTCCTTCTCAATGTACAAGCTCATGTCTCTTCAGTGTTGTAGTTATGTAGCCCCCAGAATAGGAAGACAACCATTGCTGTATTGTCATGCAGGACATGTCTATTGCTAATTCCATGCATTTTTATCATGAGGCACAAGGGGCTTCTGACCCCAAGTAACATACTTTGTAGCATTTAAAACAAATAAAAGCAATCAGTTTGTCATCAAGAATTCTTGAGTCAATTTATGTCCAGTGGTGCCATTAAGGTGAGTAGTGGTGTAGGAGCAAAAAGGTGACAGAAGAAAAGTAGCGATTCCCACAAATTTGCTGTAACACCCCTCTCAAAATGTTCACAAAATATCTATGGATATGACTTTAAAACATAATAAAGTATTTCAATTATATGCTTAATTTCTTTACTTTTAATCTATTTCAAATTATGTCCATTTTATGTCCAAAGAGTATTATTTTTTAACGTTGCATTGGACACTGTTCTGTTATGGTTTTCTGTTTTGGGTGTGCAACTCATTAAGGGTCAGAGTGAGGCTACCCCATAGAAAAAGTTTCTGAAAGCACATCTGCCTTTATGTTCATGAAATTATAAGCAGGGTTTTTCACCTGAGCTGTAATAGCACACATCTTTCCAAAATATGAGATTATAAGAAATTAATAATCAGTTTAGAGCCTACTTAAGGCACAAAATATCTAGTGAAGGCACATTGAGGGCAGCAGAGAAACAGAAAACAAAGTAAATGTTTTTGTGTGCAGAGATAAATAGATGTGCGTTACTGTAAGTAGCCTGCCAACAAATCTGACTTGCCTGCTCTTACAATAGCAATGTGTACTAACTTATTTGGGAATTGAGCAAATTGAAAGTTTTATTAATGTTACATGACCTAACAAAAAGGACAGGTTTAGTCAGATTTAATGACAGAAAATAATGTATGCAAATATCTAGTTTCTTTTTCATATTCTAAATCTTTGTATGTTTTTGACTTTGTCCTTCTTAATCCTATCTCAATGAATCTCACATCTATCCAAAAACTAAGAGAAGAAAGTAGGATGATATTTAAGTATTTGGCATTAGTTACTCTTTAAACCTTTTTTTTTACACTTAAAAATTTTCTAATATTTATCAGAAATATAATAAATACTTGTAAACATTTCAACATGAAATACAAAAATAACAAGAAGTCTCCCCACAGTAACTTTGTTCATCTCTTACATAAACCAACACACAAATCCACTTACACGAGACAACAAGATAAGGGACTGTCACAGGAAAAAGGAAAAAAAAAAACCTTCAGGAAGAAGTCCCAGTGAGTCATGCATGTTGCAAAAGATGGGTGACTATTTCAGCTGTTGTTGTGGCAACACATCAAGGCAGGGCTAGTAGTGGATCTATTGCAGTGGAGTGATGGACAACCTAGATGTGGAGGACAGACAAGGATATGACAAATATCACATCAAGTGAAGATGTAGAGGTATCAAATGCTAAGCAGAAAAGCCCCCAATCATTTTTGAAAGATGTGAGTTGTATTAATCCATTTTAAAATTTATACTTGGGGCTTGCATGAATAATTCTTAAGAATATATTGACATACTTCCAAACTTCTCTTTCAGTTTCACCTCCTAAAGTATACAATCATTAGAAAATGTGTTCAGAATATATTGCTTTATGTTGGAGTTGCAAACAGTTAATATCACCAAATGTAGTGTACTCAGTGATAATGATTGTTCTTTGAACAGCCATCGTGCATGGGAGGCCTGTTACAAGTGGATCAATGAATGATTCATGTACTTATTGTATTAAACTGTAGTGAGTATGAATTGTCAATCATGGCACACATCCCCCAATAGGAAAGAGCATGTGCTAAACCTGTTTTAAAAACGAGAAAAAAGACAAAATGATAAGCATTTACCTTGGTGTAGTAATGTTGATTTTGAAAGGTTGGAGTAGTTACAGTAAAATAAGAATCCCCTCCAGTAAACAGGGCAATTAAAATGATCATTAACGTGTGTATTTTCTCATTACTCATCAAAATATATGGGTCTTGTTGTTTTTTTAAATAAATATGGCAGTGCTGCAGTGCCACCTTGCACAATGAAGCTTTCCTGGTGATCTGGAGTTTTACTGTCATGTGGTCTGCAGGAACTCAGCTTGGATTTTTGTCCACAGTCCAAAGACATGCTTATATTCTAATTTGTGAATTTTGAATTGTCTACTGGTGTAGCCATACATGGTTGCTCATCTACTCATGTTAGATGTGTGATGGAGCTGTAAACTGACCAAGGATTTAATCTGCCCATTTGCTCAATGTCAAATGAAAAGCATGCAAAGCTACTACTAATAAAACATGATTTTTATAATACTTTTCTGGCTTTATTTAGCTTGATAATAAAGCAAATAATGTTTTTATTTATTTATTTATTTATTTTTTTACAAAAAACTCTGACTGTCTTATAATCCATCAGAAGCATAACCAATTTAAATTCCCATTAAGAGAAGAAGCATGATGATTTTACTTTGTTCAGATCTGACACTAAGATTAATCAACACAACAGTTTGAATATGAGAACAAGTAATAACTTTAATTAGGAATTAGGTTTATTACTAACCACACTATTTTCTCTACTGATTAAGTTCAGAAAAAAAGGAATAAACACTACGACAATAATTCCACTCTCATATATGTTTCAGAGAAGGTTAATGACCAGGGAAGGAACTTTAGCCAAATGCTATCCTGGCTGATTAATGACCTGATACTTTACAGTTCTTTTTATTAATATTTGAGGAGCCTAAAGAAAAGGTTTTACTGCCTCTTTCTAGGTTTAAAACCCAATTTTACCCTGAGATTAGGGCAAATGGAGGGAAAATTAAAAATTATGCTATAGATCGATGGCACTAAAACTCATTTAGCAAAGCCCGCAATGTTCAAACTTTATGTTCAGGTCAGGGTACAGTACATGCAGTAAACTTTTTCTGTAGTTATTAGTCAAATAAATATTGTTTAGAAAAAAAAAAGATAAGTCACAACGACCTATTTTTTTTTATCCAGTTAGATTGGTTCAATTATGGTTGTTAAAGCTGACATCTATATATATTTATATAACCATTGGATTTACTTTACAGTTGTTTTTCTTTCTGCTACTTTTGTCGACATAAATCAAATCAAATAGATTTAGGGGAAAGATAATCCCATAAATGCAACATTTCAGGTCAGGTTTTAGGCTTATAACAGGCACAGAGAAACAATACAGAGGAGGATGATCTACAGAGCAAAGAAGGATTGCTCTCAGATGTGAACCATATTGAGAGTGTGAAACCATTAATATCATTACATCTCGGTCCTGGTGTATCGGATTACAAAGAAGCTGGGGTGCCATGCTACTATATCAAGGGTTTTTGGACTGTATTCGTTTCACTTGCTGTTGGATTTTTGAGTGAAATATAGTTGGGTTGGTACAGGGTAATGGTGCAAAAGCTGCAATTGATCCAACACAGGAGATGAGGCAAAAAAACAGAAAAGCGTATTATTTTAAACAAGACCACTCAGCCACTTGTTTAAATTTATTGTTTTTGTGACAACTAAACTTTACATATCAAGCATGTTAATGTGATTCCACAGAGGGAACTTGTTAGTATTGAAGCTTAAAATTGTTGCAGGCAAATGTGGCAAATGTGGCACTGCTTATAAAAATGGCTAAGGGTAGAATCAGAAAAGTGTGTTAGACAAAGGCCTCCACTTCCCTTTATTCAAACTGTCCTAAATTGAATCAAGTAAAATAAGTTTCTTTAAGAGGACAATAATTAAGGGTTAATTTGTTATGGCATTTGTTTTCAGTAAAAATCCTGTTGTTCTGTGAGGGTCTCAGAGGTTTCTGAGTGAAACTTACTTACTGTAAACAGCAGTATAAAGACCTAGAAGCATAGCATACAGTTTAACGATGAAATTTGGGGTATTTTAAAACAGGTTTAGAATATAAAACAGTAATTTAAGTCTTAAAAATCTTACAGTAGTGCTGTTAATTCTGTTATAAGAAAATGGAAAGGTTTATTTTTGCTGAAATCACAGTTTCTGTCATGATTGGTTTAATGAACGAAAACCCACATGCAGAACACTAATGGAGACAGAGGAAAGTTTAACAATGTTTATTTGGGAAACACACACAGAGTGAATCAGGAACTGGTTCTGGTGCAGGTCCGGGACTGGTTACTCTTATATCTTGAAGAGGTTCTAACAGATCCTTTGAGAGGGGGAACCGGTTGGGACCAGACACTGTGGAAGTAGCAGAGAGCTCAGCAGCAGCAGCGTCTAGCTTCTAGCCAGAGAGTTTTCGGACTTGGGTTTGTTTCCTAGCTCTTCCCAGAGAACTGGCAGATTTCCAGGTTATGCTCATCCAGAGCTTCAGACTTCAGTCGGGTTTCTGCGAGCAAGAAGACAAGA